TTAAGGCACTATGCCATGCGCCCCACTAGTTTATTTTTTTTCTTTGCAAAGGACGATAAAAATTCTATGCAGATGATGAACGTAATACTTTATGAAAAAGCTTTCTTTATATAAATTATTTTGAATACACATAATAATATTCCCCATTTATATTACTATGTAAACTTTTTTATTTTTATTCGACATCTCAAATTAATTAATCTTTTCCTCTAATATTTCTCTACTTTTTCCGATTTTTTGTTCCACTTATATAATTTTCCTTTAGCGAACAACAGGTGAATTTTCTTCGTACCGGTTAGCAATATTTCAAAGTTCGGAGAGAGTAGGTAATACGATAATTTATTGAAGCAACTTTATATATTTTCTAAGCGACTGCACAGAAAAGAGGATACTATGGGTTATATGTTACTTATAGAGGGGAAATGGATGATTTACGGATGAAACTTTCGAGACTTTTTATTCAACTTTTCATATTTTTCTTACCGGAAAAACTTGTTGACTCCACATTGTAAGATGAGATTTTTGTATACATTAATTCAGAGGATAAGGGATAATACTGAGGAAGGTAAGTATATTTTAAACGTTTAATTGTCTTACTTTTTCACTTTGAAACTATTTTGGATTTGTTTATTCTTCCGAAGAACTTTATGATTTCGCCAAAATATCCGATTTTATATTAATTAATTTATATTTTCTCGAATGAGAACTAACTTGGAAAAAATATGTGTGTATGTGAGCATGTGAGCTGATTGACCTTTCGTGAAAGTTTTTCCAAAAACGGCTAGACTGTTTTTATAAATTTAAAAGCCATTCGATGTAGCTGTATAAGGACTAACGTTCGTCAGTTTTGTGCGACGATCAGCCGAGCCGTTTCTTTGTAAATAGCAGAATAAATGTAGTTTTGTCTACGTTTTAACTCAAATTTTAGAATAAAAAAAAATACAAGTTATTTGGCAGAATCAATCACATTGATTAATTTTTGATAAAGATCTAATTTTTTTTCGACGATTTTTATGAAACTTTTTGTGAAGGAGGAGCTCATGGTCCTATAGATCATACTGAAATACCATAATAATATAATACAATTATTAAAAATTTATTTATATAATGCGAATTTTATAACAACCTTAAAGTATTATTTTGAAGGCTATACCGGAATAAATTATGCTTTACGGTTAAAATGCTATAGATTTTATATAATTTTTTTTTAAATTGAATGATTTGTAGTTTTCTGGGTTTTTTATGGTTATTTAGCTACATTTTGCCTATAAATATGGAAAAGTTATTATAGTGACTAGATGAAGATGATTTTACATTCATATAATTAAATTAAAAAAAAAAATTTTGAAAAGTATAAAAAAAAATTTGCTACGATTTTTATATTTGTGGCTCATTGAATTCAAAAATAACTGGAAAGCAAATTTTAGACAGTTACTTTTGAGTGTAAAACATAGTTTATCATAAATTAAATAATCTTAACATATACTCCTAGAATTACTTAAAATTGAAATAATTCATAAATATCAGGTATAAAATTTAGAATATATAAGAAAATTTTGATAAATCAGTTACTAGGAGTATTTGTTATTTATTGACAAAATTTTTTAGATCAAAATGATTTTCATATAATATTGGTTATTCCATGAAAGAAATAGTCATTTCTTAAAGCATAATATTTGGTTAGGTAAATATTTGTGAACATAGAGAAACTTTTCGAAAAACCTAGATCTTTTATTAAAAAGCATTTTGATCTAATTAAAATCAATATAAAATTATTCGCAAAAAAGTGACCAACTACTTTGCTCTGAAAGCGATTTTTCCCAAAAATTACTTACAGCCACGTATGACTGTCATTTTTTAGTCACTTTTATTGCAGATAATTCATTATTTAATTATATAATTACATATATACAAGAATATTTACATTTTGTGTAGAGGGCTGTCTACTAGGGAGTGCTTTCTACATCAGTGCAGTAATTAATAATTCTATAGAATCAATAAATCAAAATATTTGTGCTGTGACGTCACAAAACATAAATGTGGAATAAACAAGTGCTAGGTAAAATCCAAAATATCATTTTTACCGAGTTATAATATAATAAATACTGGTGCATCAGTGCTCTTTTAAAAAAATATAATAAAAAATTAAAAGAAAAAAAATTGGTGAAAATTTATAAGAAAAATTAATTAGGGTATAAAGCTTTTATGCAAAATTAGTTAGCTAATTACGTAGCGAGTGTAACGAAATGTTTGTTTAGACAAAAACATTTTAAGAACATTAATTATTTTTGTAAAGAACCAATTGTGAATTTTATTGATAGATCTCTAAACTTACTAGAAAAATTTTGGGATAGCTCAGAATGCACAAAAATGTTTTTAGGATGCCTCAGAATGCATATTTGCAATAAATTGAATAAAAACAATTCCAATTAAATTTAAGAGCCAAATAAATATTTTTGTTCTAATGCATGCTAATTAAATTAATTAAACTAAAAAAAATAATAAATTTCTGAATTTTTGAAAATTATTAAAAAGAGATTTTTTTAAAAATTGGTCAAAAATAAACATTTTGTTACTCCAGACTAATATTGTAATGCTAGTTTTCTGTTCATGTTCAAAGTATTTTAAGTGTAAAATATATTTATAAAACTAAATATTTTATAATTTAATTGAACTAGGTACCTTACGGAGTAGATTATTATTTTTTGTTGAACATATATTTTTATTTACGTTCTATTAGAATTTTATATGATGATCAGAAGAAATTTATTATATTAATGAACGCATGCAAATTTATTCGCAATAGTTGCTTAAATCAGAAAATAAAAATTTTTAATTATTGCTAAAAAGCACAGTAGTTTAATACTTCTTGGCTTCAGAAGAAAATTAATTATGAATGAAATTGTCTTAACTTTAGTTTGAATTTCGTACTACATATGATTTTTATTTTGCTAATATTTACATATATGATGGTTTATATATTTTTTTAATTTGAATATAGATTTGATAATTTTTATTTGCTCAAAAGTATGACCGACATTATACATTATCTAGTAACGTGAATAGTTTCGTAGAGTTTATTTGTAGTTTTATATACATTTTCTGTAGTGATTATGTACAATCGTGTTTTCAATAAAATTCTCTATACTCTATCAGTCAAACTAACATGCAAAAAAATTCTAGAATAATAATTTTACATAAAAGCTTTATTTTGAAAACCAAACTTAAACCCGTGCCGTGCGGTGCAAATTCGTTCCGCATATTATTATTAATAAAATAATAATTAACAAAATAATAAACACAAACGATATGAGGCAGTCAATTCCGTAGTAATTTGGTATGATTATAATATTTTTTTTAATAATACACGAGGGTTTATTAAATTTGTTATTTGCTTTCCGATACAAAACAAAGTGAAATCAATATACTAATTGATTTTGATTGCACTTTCATATCATTGTAAAATTAATATGGGACATTTTTATTAAAACTTTACATTGTTGTCATATAGAATTTGTTTTACTAAGATTTGAAACAACAAACTTTTGGTTTTTGTTGTACTAATTTTAATAATATGAAAACCATCATTTTTAATATAAAAGAGTTCGCAATTAGAGCAATTAATTTGATATACCAAATTCCTGAGGCGGTCAAAATTGAACTTAGATTTCATTTGTGTAAAAATTGAACTAAGGGTTGCATCACAATTACATACCAACAGAATCTCACCGCCTCAGGAATTTGGTATATCAAATTAATTGCTCTAATTGCGAACTCTTTTATATTGGAGAAACTAGCCAAAACCTGAGTAAACGCCTTAATCAACACAAAAATAATTCAAAAAATCCCAAGCAATTTAAAACAATGTTAACTGAGCATATTAAAAATTTAAATCATAATATCGAGTTTTTTAACCCTAAAATTTTACATTTTGAAGAGAATACAATTAAAAGAAGATTCGCTTTACAATTACATAACGACAAAGTCATAAACAAACGCTTTGACAATACGGCCCTGAACGAAACGAACACGTGGTTTCTTAATAGCGTGTCAAAATTCCTTAAAAAATAACAAAATCCCATCGCCTTCTAAATTTTCCAAAAAATATCAACACATGCTAAAAACTGCTTTGAGAAAAATGTGACATTTCTATCCTAAACTCCGAAGAGTAAATACATAGTTTCGACAACTTGTTAAGTTATCATGATTATTAGTGTGTTTTACTATTTGTGATGTTTGTGTTAAAAAATATATATCTTATCAATGTGCACATACTCATACCATGGATTAATAATGGTTTCATATGCTATATTAGGATACAAAATTGTAAGTGTTTTATTACTATTATTATTATTATTGTTTTTCCATGAAATTTCCTTTCATATAATTTATTTAGTTTCAATTTTTATAGTTAACTTGATTACCACTGAATGATGGCTAAGATGCTAGCCGAAACGTATGGATTTTAAATAAATATTTTTTTTAAAAAAACTCATACTATTTTTATTGATGTTACGCCCGAATATTAAACTCAAATTAAACATATATATATATATATATATATATATATATATATGTGTGTGTGTGTCAATTTAATTGGTTTGTTCAAGTAATGCGGAAATGGTATTTATAATACTGAATATTTATTAATTATATAATAATTTTGATTCCTTGAAATTTGATTTTATTGTTTGAAAGTCTGAAACAATTGGACTTTATATTTGTACATTGCTATTGAGTAATATTCTTACTGTTTAGTCAAAATTGTATTATGACTGCACTCATACCGCCAACTAAAAATTCGTAAAACAAAACCAAAAAAAGAAAACCATAAATCTTTTAAATAATTGGTGCTGGTGGTAATTTGGTGCTGGTATTTCATCCACAGTAGAGAGAGACACACACAGTGAGTGGTGTTGAATGTTGAATTATAGGTGCTTTTGCAAATAGACAAATGTAAGAAAGATACACACCCTGGCGACGGCTGAATCCGGACTCACCCTGTATCCGCCCAAATTGTTCACGACGCAGGTGAAAGTCGCGTCTCGGCCCTGGGCTATCGTCACGTTCTCTAAGGGATACTGGAAGTCCGGCTCGAAAGCATCTGGGAAAAAGAAAGAAAAACATTCATGAAAATAATTAGTAATAAATTCAATTATTGGTGCTTATTCCCATAAAGGTAATTTTACTTTTATATTGAAACACACTATTTAATTCAATAGTTTATTTAACTTATTTGTGAAATTTGATAACATTATTTTAGTGACTGTTTTCGCTTGCCGAGCGGGCACTTAGGTCTTTCAATGCTTGTAACGTAAAAAAATATACCTAAAACTTAGGGTAAGTTCGCTTTATTGCCCTGTATGAAGCGAACATCTTTGTGCTTGTGCATTGTTGCATTTTTTGTACATTGGAGCTCCAATTCGCACTGCAATTCGTACTGCAATTCGCTCCAATTACAGTAGTAACTAGTTGGTATTGGTATTTAGCCTTGAGGCAAGTTACACCCACTTCCCGATATGTGTAAATAATCGATTTAATTAATAAAAATAAATTAATTTATGAGTGATTGAAAGTATTCCGAGTGGATTTATTACACATAATTGCAAACGAACAAACGAACACGTTAACTCGGAGTATTTTCTAAAAGCAGATTTTCAAAAATCAATATTTTTTATAATTGAACCAGTTTCCGTAGGACTTTAATGGTTCAGTATGTTCATTGACTAAGTACTCTATCTTTATACCCAGTAAATCGTCTAATTTTAATTTTAACAAACGTCAAAAAAACTACTCATTTTCTCAAACCTTGATGAATTTTTAAAATTAAACTACTTGTCGTAAAGCCGTGATATTTCAGTAAGTTCTAAAAGACCTTGGTATATATCTCCAAAAAAAGTTCCATAAAAATCAGCTTAATTTTTTTTTCAACAGTTAATTACAAGAAAACGGCTCGGTAGATTTTTATCTAAAATTAATCCGTATCATTCCCAACTAATGTCTTTCGAACAGTTTTGATGTTTTAAAATCGATTTGGTAGAATGAGCTTAAATGTGAAAGAAAAGTTTAACACTTTTTTCTAAATTACAAAGAAACGGCTTGGAAGATTGTCGCACAAAACTGACGAATGATAGTCCTCATTGAGATACATAAAATGGCTTTTAAATTTATGAAATCGGCTCAGGCGTTTTTGAGAAAATGTCAATCAAAAGTCTAATTTTGACAAACGCCAAAAAAAAGATACTAATTTTTGTCAACTTTGACCAATTTTCAAAATGCTTACACGCTTCGATGTTTCGTCTCTATGCAGTTAATGCAGTACGATTTCTTTTAAAAAATGTTCAGAATTTCTAGAATATTTCAATAAAGAAAACTTTTTTTTTCAAAGCTAAAAAAATAAATTTTTATCAAAAATTTATGGTTTCACAAAAATCTATTTTTTTCTAAGTAAAATTTTTTCAAAAATGTTAATCTTTAAAAAAAAAAGATTTCTGATACGCATGATGAGCTTTTGGGAAGATAGCATAGTGCACCTACGCTTAACGTGCTCTTAACCTGGAACTAGGTTAGTTTCAGGTCAGAGTGCAACCTCACATATCTCGAAAACTACCGTATGAACCAATTTAAAATTTTTGTTACAATCTTGATAAAATATAATAACAATGTGGGCCAAGTTTCATTAAATTCACATGATCCGCTTTTGAGAAGATGCCATGGTGCACCTAGGCTAAACGTACTCTCAACCTAAAACTAGGGTAGTTTCAAGTCAGAGTGGATTTTCGAATATCTCGAAAACTACCGTATTAACCAATTTAAAATTTTTATCATAATCTTAGTAAAGTATAGTAACAATGTGTGACAAGTTTCATTAAATTTGTTTGAATATTTGGTAGGCCAAACGTGCTCTCAACCTAAAACTAGGCTAGTTTCAGGTCAGAGTTCCTTGGTCCGTAATCGCCAATACAGGACAAGTTCAATTGTTAAGTAATCCCGCATATATGAAAAAGTGGTGATGAACCGATTTAAAATTTGTCACAATCTTGGTAAAGTATAACAATATGACCCAAGTTTCAAACTAAAATAAAAATTAAAAATTCGTCTCAAAATTAAAAATGAATATTAGGGGTGGACAACGCTTGATACAGGTAATTGCTTCTTACAATAAAATTGAAGCTTTTCCATAAGTTCAAAAAAAATTTATTTAAAAAGCAGTGAAAAACATTTACTTGCTGAAAACGGGGTAAAATGATTTGTTTGCTAAAACGGCTATTATAAAATATTGATTTTAGACATATAAAAATATAGAGTAGCATTTATTTTTCAATTTCTCATAATAAACAATTAAAATTAAAAAAGAGTGATCTCAAAAATAAAAAGGGGTTAGGACTTAATCTCTGATAAAAATATTTTTTTGAGTACAATTTTACAAGCTCTTCTACAAATTCAAAAAACTGTAATTAATTTGAGTTTAAAACTTTCCTGACAAAAGTCATAATAAAACATTATTTGCGTACTAAAACTACTAATACAAAATAGGGGTGACGTAAGAGCGTGTAAATTTAGGGTTGTATATGTTTTTGAATTATTTACTATAAAAAAATAAAATAAAAAAAATATGTCTTGAAAATAAAAAAATTAGGTGTGCAAAAACCCTCAATTAAACATAAGTTTAAGCAATTCCATGAGCTTATGCAAATTTTTATCGAAATTTAGTGAAAAACAATAGTTGACTGAAACTGGGATTAATAATTACTCGATTACGAAAATTACTATTACGGAATAATGGTTTGAGGTAAGAAGGTGCAAATATAGAGCTGTGTGTGTTTTTGTAACATTATATAAAGATAAAATAAAAAAATGGCCCATAAAATGAAATGAAATTTTTGGGTTACCACAAAACGAGTTAGAAAATAGACATTAGCCGATTTCTAGTCTTGATAAATGCAAATAGAAAAAATATCATAAAAGTCGGTAAATATCTATGACACGAATAATTTATTGTGTTGTGGTAAGCAAATTTGTTATTAAAAACTTCAAGAGCGCGAAGATTAAACTTACATCCGCATATACGATTTTATCGTCCCATAACATTTTCCTGGAAATGTGAAATTTCTGAAAAGTTCTTTTCCGTTTTTCTTTATTTCAATATCATCAAGTAGATTGCCTCGTTGATATTCATAACAAAGTGATTCGTATCTGAAGGAAAGGGACCGTTTTACTAGACTAAGCGAGAACATTGTTTGCGATGGCCCTTGTAAATGATACGAGAGGGCTGAATGTAAACAAACATAGATTGTAAATCGTTTATATATGTATATTTATGAAGGATTACCGACTCGCTCCTGCTCTCTCCGTTGTTTACTTTGAATATACGAGTATGCATTCAATGCTACATATATTTACTGATATGGGTGTAGGCATTCGAATTGAATGGCTAGGGCAAGGGAAGTTCTAAACGAAGAAAACCTAAAACTGTGTTTAAACTTAAATTATTATGCAGTAATAACGCGGTACTCTGTAAACTCGGTTTTCATACCACCCGGAGCTAGTATTGCGACATCCCTTATATAACACGGTACTCCTACTTCGCGGTTTTTCTTCAACATTCCATAAGTTTTTCTGTGCAACAAATTGGTTGCATGTTAAGGTGGTATTCTAGTATAGAATTGCAAAAAAATCGATTTTTTTATTTCATATTTTCAAAGTTTAACTTTCTAATAATATGGGTACGAGAAGATTTTTGAAAATTTGAATTTTGTTCGAAGATATATGCATTTTACTGACTCGGTCTCCAAACTGGTTTGGCAGGGTCTAATCGGACAAAAGGTATTAGGAAGTCATTAGACCAATTTATGACAGTTTATCGTCAGATGAATTATTAATTCGATGTATAGGTTCAGAAACTCAGAACAATAATGAGTCTCTAAACTCATTGATTTGGATTTTTGCGCCGAAACATATTCATTCTCGATCTCGGGTAATTGAAATAGCAAAAGTGTTTACAATTTTCAACTGTTTTTTCTTTAATTTTTGCTTTGTATTTTAATATTATTTATAAACAAGTGGTAATAAAATGGATAGTAAAAACATTCTTTGCTTTCTTTTACAACACTTTAAAAATGACCTAAAATTCATTGCTCTATACTAGAATACCCCCTTAAATTACTCTAATCACTAAATATTATAAGAACCTTATGATATTTAAGATATAAATAATACTTAAAATTTTCCAATTTAACACTAAGACTAACTAATTGTAAGTACTTTTACTATTTTATTTTTTTTTTTACTCCAATTCAATTGTTTTAGTTAATAATTTTATTTTTAGTTTTCACTGAATGAAGGCTAGGATTATAACCGAAACGTACGGATTTAAAATGAATTTTTGAAAGAGATTCATGTTTTTTTATTGATATAACGCCAGATTACTAGACTTTGCTAATAAATAATACTATAAATATTAGAAGAATCTTTAACTGTGAGTCACAAAACTAGTTATCATGATAAAGTGGCAGAATTTGTATAAAACATTGGCCATTTCCTATTTAAACTAGTTGTGAATGGAATAAAAAAGATTAAAATTTGTTTGATCAATTTGTGAAATGAAATATATGAGAATCTTGAAATTTAAAAAAAAAATGTTTTTTTTTTAAATTAAAAACTTTCCATTATTATTCGACATTTTTTAACTTTTTTTAACGCAATCGCGCTGCGTTAGCTGCATAGGGATAAAACTTCAAAATTTCGTGTTTACGAAATCGTCGACGAAAATTTGTATCCGAACACACACACAAACACATCCATTTTCTCTAAGGTATGCCAAAATGTTCAGGACATTTAAAACGTAAATGTATGCAGAAAAATTATATTCGATTTTTTGCAATTATCTATTACTTACTTCCTAAGGGATGTTGATTATATTCTGAGATTTCAATTTAAGAAAAACTTAAACTTTCGATTCGCATTGTTAAAGAGACATGCTGATTAGTTTCTGCCAAGGTTAGGCCTAGCCATTTCGAAGACACGGGGCAAAAGAAGTCAAAAGTGGTACCGCAGTTTATGAGATAATTGAATAATTCAGAAAACATTTCATTTATATCGACG